TTTCATGCATAAGAGATTAAAAGAGTCTTATTTAGGTGCTCGAGCAATTTCAAAACTAAGACTTGGTATTTCTATTTCATTCCTTAGAAAAAGACGACGATAGTTATCCTTCGTATGTCTTGATACATACACTACTAGTGTCAGAAAGCAATCGCTTAACAGGGCTGTTCATGATTAAATGTTTTAAAGGTTGTTTCAAGACACAAGAAAATAAAAATAACTTACATCACTGCCACTGGAAAAACTTTACGCAAAAAGTTCAATATTTCTGCAGCAGCACTGAATTAAAGAATTACTACTAGAAAGCACTATGTTAGACCAGGCCATAAATTTAACATAGGGGACAGTAAGGGAGCTGTTAAGAGTGTCAGTTAAAGAAGAAATTGTGCACGACAAGAATAGAAAACACAGTTACCATTCACCACGTTGGATAACTAATTCAGTTTCGGAAATGGACATTTATCCTTGGTTTCCGGGTATAACATATCCAGCATCGCACGAAAGGATTTCACAGTCTGCAATAGTACTGTTTTGGTTTAGTAAGGAAGACTCAGAAACGTTGATTACAAACCTAGACAACTGGTGAAGCGGAGTGCGAGTGCTGGCTGTGACGAAAAGAGGGATGGGGCCGAAGATGTTCGGAATGTCTCTTCATGAACATATAAACAGTCAGACTCTAAGTTAAATGGACGGTGCGCAGTAGTATTGTTTTGAACATTCGAGCATGCAAGAAAGTAAACTCAGCGGGCAAGGGATGTTGTTCATCTTGCTGAGAACAGGTGGGTGTTATATATGATTGGGTGACGCACGTAAGAAAGTATATGATCCCCTGGGTAATCTCGAGGAGGTTGCGCATATACATCAGGCATGCGGTGGATTCAAACTGAAAACGCGCAACTCAGGGACAAAACATCTAGCCGCAATGCCCTTTTCTAAAACAGGGTACGTTCAGTGATGGAGAGTTCCTATACGGACTGTTCAGCTGTCATGGTAATTTTGCCTTGCATATCACTTCCTTTCTAAACATTAAAATATCTAAAGGGCTAATATGCTGATTAGCATTTTTACAAACCTGTCGATATCCGTTTCGCACAGCAGCTCTTTTCAAGTACACATTTTCTTTGGGTTCTTTTCTTTTGATGTCCCAGTGCACCGAGAATAAGTCGTTGACTACTGTGAAAGTGTATCCTTTTCGGCACAATAAGCTGCCCTGTTTGGACAAATAGCTGTTGTGATTGTGGCATGTAAATAATAAATAATTTCAAATGTCTTTCTCGACAACTACAACTATCAGAGCAATACAAACTGCTTGCGTCCTCTTGACTCAGTAAAACAACTTTAATGGTGCTGTTGCTGAACAAGTTTTTGATTAGAATAAGTCAGAAAATCTGAAAACAAACCAAATGTGTATTCGATCGCATTCGCAGAGGGAAACGCTCATCGTGCAGTGGTACCGATTCGTCTGCAACAAACTGTGGCTCCCAATCGGCATTCAAGTACTCGTGTTCCTGAACAGTAATGCTTTGGTTATATTTCTTTGCTTGGCGGAAAGAGATGCAGCGGATTCAGAACGAGGAAAGTAATAGTTTCGCAGTGAAACTGGTTGAGTAAAAGAATTTTGCCGAGTCGTCATTTTCCCAAAATTTGGCAACTTTCTGAAATTTTTGCACATCAAATTGTCGTCGAGATCGTGTTTTGAATGTGATAGGAAGTGCTGCTCGGAATATAAGTTTGAACTGCGGGAACGTAAAAACGCACAAAAAAAGTGACGCATACCTCAGCAACCGTTGCAGTAGTAAAATTTTCTGGCTCTCGAAACCATTTTTCAATGTGTGGGATATAATGACCTTTTGGATAAATATGCAAATGGAACTGAAAAGCCAGTTTAGCAGTATATAACCTCTCGAGCTCCTTTTTATTCCGCGGAAGAGATGAAACATTCCTCGCAATTTCGAATCGCCTATGCACCAGCACAGTTTTCCTTTTCTCCCTGAAAAATAAAGAATACATATGCATATCACTCTACATATTTTTTCGACGACAATTAACCTCGTTTTCAGAATTTTTTCCCTACTCCTTCTAAAGCAATTTTTCCACTAAACTTTTTGTTTCGTGGTTGAAAGATGCACAAAACTAATTT